TACAATCTACTTCACATTGTTGCATCATAAATTTCGCGACGTCTGTTCCGCTGAGAGTCAGCAGAGTGAGACGGGCCGACGATCTCTGGCTGGAAGAGAACTAAAGCCAATCAATCGCTCCTGCTGCGAGGTTCTCAGATTCATGAAAAGAAGGATATATAAAAAGAACGCTTATTTTTGTGCTTAAAGTGTAACAGTAAGGTTTGGAAACGGGCAAAAATCAGGTTCAGTTAGAACCTTTTTAAATGTTTATAACTATATATTGAGGACACATCATGCCCACCGCTGCAGAGCATTTGCTACCCTCTATCTATTTGATTTCAACCTGAGCCCCATCTAATCCATCTAATGCATTTGACTCATCAAAAATGCGTGCTCTTCTCCTTTTGTCACTGCAGGGAGGTGGGGGGAAAAAAGTCAACTAATAGTACTGGGCATTGCTGATGTGTTTCTTTATTCTTTTTGATGTGCCTGTACTGTATTATTACAGATGTTGCCATAGAGACGAGGAGAGAAGGTGTTAATCCTGCAGCCTGAGAGAAGATCTGGAGTATGTGACTGAGATCTTTTAAAACAGTCAAAGTCATAAATAATAAAAGATGTACATGAAAAAAGGCTCTTATCATAGTATGAGCTGCAAATAGTTTCTATGAGAATTAGACTTGAAATTTCAGTGGAGTGTTATTCAGTGATCAGGCTTTTGTACTCATGCAGGAAACTCATAAACAACTTAAACTTTGTCAATTAGGTATTAGGACTTAACAAAAAGTTTGAGTATTATTTTAAAAGATGTGGACGAGTTTACAAGACACATGCCAATATAATTAATTTGGTTAAACAATCTCAGTGTGTGGAGCCTGCTGGATATGTGGAGAACAATCTGCAAACTATTTGCATATTTTTGGGTTGTGTCCCAAGGCTATGATGTCTTTGTTTTCATACATAGTGTTTTGGAGATATCCCTGAGAATGAATGCTGCGGTACGGGGAGTAATCCCTAAAGACTGCACATCCATACTAATTCAATATCGGTTTCGGTTAGAGACTGGATATTGGCGCAGAGTGGGCCCACCTTCCATGGGAAAATGGACATCCAGATTAAATAAAGTGTATGAAAGGAAAAAACTGAAACTACGGCCAGAAACATTTGAAACAAAAATGGCACCCAGTCATTAGAAATAAGGTCTCTCTAATCTGTATACTATAATACATTTGTGTTGTTACCCTTGGCTACTGCTCTAAAAATTAATGGAAAACAGGAAAAAAGAGCCTGCTTTCTTTTTGACATAAAGGTGACAATGAAAATCCCACTGAGCGAATTAGTGTGAAAAGATCATTACGTGCAATAATTGTGTAAGAAATCAGGGTGACGTACTGCGAAGTAACCATCGATTTGTCTCCATGCAGCTTGCTCACCCAGCACATACACTGACAGTATTTACTCTCTTCCTTGTTGTCGACCCATTGAGTGTTTTTACATGTTACTGCCAGGAGCGAGTCCAGTCTCATCCAGGTAAACCTTCTCTGGCATAAATGTATTAGGGTACAGTGAAGCGTGCTCTGCTCAATGACATTACACAAAAAAATGAGCCTTGATGAGACCTTCATGATTAATAATTGATTTATGCAGAAAGTAGATCTTGGACTTGTGCAGCGCTGAAGGTCAGCCAACGAGTCCCATCTCTGAGGAGCTGTTTGATACAGCTAATCTGCTGCGAGGAGAGTGAATGCCAGGGCTTCATGTTGTATGCACTGTGCTGGGATTGTAATACCTTTGAGCCGTAGTTTTGCTATTTTAGCTACAGCCTGCGTGAACAGAGTTAAGATTTTTTCCATTTCTCTTTTCTATTCCTGGAAATAGTTGTTTTTTTTTGCATTAGCAAGTGGCCAGAGAAGGCTGTAAAAGAAGGAAGGCAATATGCAGGTGAAATAACAGCTCTCACTTCAGACAACTACAGAAACACATTAGGCGGATCTGATTGTTTGTTTTGCTGCTGGGAATCAAAGTGTGTCATGTTCAGACACACACAGTACTGTACCTTTACTCCACGCCAAGGAAAGCTAAACCTAGGAGTCATCTAACATAAATTCTCCAACTTAATGCATTTCCAAGCCTTATTTTCATCTAAATTGGAATCTCTTTAGGATGGTAAGTATTACTGCTTGCTTTAGTTAGCATTGTTACCATAATGTACTTAATTTGCATTTGGTGGGTCAATGAGCGCTCTGCACTGGTTGCAATTGAAGGGTCTAACAAACAAACTACATAAGTACATTTAAATGGTCAAAACTCAATTTATTTGTAAACAGCAACACATAATCCACAGACACTGTTGCTTTTAGGTCAGACTTTCTATCTACTGTCTTTACTTGTTTGAGCAAACAACTCATGTCAAGTTTCTACAAATCGTGCTGGAGCAATGAAATGACATTTAAAATCAATGAACAAGAACATTATTGTGAAGTATTCATTATGCAACATTGTTCCCTTCATTTATTTATTTCACTCTTTCTCTCTCACCTTCAGAACTCCCCTCTCTCTCTCTCTCTCTCTCTCGCTCACTCTCTCTCTCTCTCTTTCTAGCTCAAATCTCCTTTCATCCAACATTCACCTTTTGAAGTTTTATGCCTTTATTCTCATCCTTTGTACCTCTGGGCATTTTGCTGTAATGGATAACGGAGAAGAGCAGTGACTGAACACTGCTGTGGTACATCAATGGACAGCACCTCACTGACTTATATTCTCAGTGCCAAATAATACACATTATTGTTCAGTATGACATGGCAGTTACTTTACTTTTTGCAAAGTCTGTGGTTACGGGGGAAAAACAAAACAGTGTAGCCCGAAGAACAAAAAAGACACTAATAAACAGACTCAAAGTGTGACAGGAGAACAGTCATTTTCTAATGTTTAAAAAGACTTAACATAGTGTAGCGTAGTGTAGATATTAATTAGACGCACTTATTCGCAAAGGGGAATTAATCCACTAAACATAGTCAGTATGACATTGATGCTTTAGCTCTCACACAGCTTGTGTTCTTTTTTGCTGCACATGTATATAGTACTGTTAAAGAAAGTATTATACAATGTCTAAATAATGAATTAGTCTGGATTTCATTTCAAAACATGCTAAGGAAGTAAGTGTTCCAGACAAGATAATCTGCAAAAACAAAAGATATAATATAGGAAAACATCAGAATTGTGTTTCTGCATATTGGACGACACCAAAGGTTTTGCACAACAACAGGTCTCTTCAAAACTTCAAGTGCTGATACAGTTAAATATTAGGCAATTATAGTAAATTAGGCAACAAATGAAGTGTGACACATTAGTCAATGGAAGGACAAAACCTTGAATTACAACACATTCATTAAATCATAGTTACTTAATTTAATGCTAATTGTATTCTTTCTTGGTAATACTTTTTTAATTGCATACATTAATTACAAACTACTTTATAAATAGTTTTTAATTGAGTCAGTTAATAAATCAATAATTAACCCCTTCCATAAGTATTACTTTTGGCACACAGCCATAGTGTGGTGCCTTACACTGAACCTTCAATAACACTGCGTTTATCAATCTGTTCCATGATCATATGTTTGCTTGTTCAGTTCGGATGTTCGTTCCTGGAACAGTGAACTTTTGGATTTGTTCTGCTTTTTGTGATATGAATGAAACCAAATTTTGGCACAATCTTTCTCTGCATTTCAACGAATCAAGGTTATAAAAAAATATTGATTGTATTCGTATTATCAAAACCTATACCTAATCTGTTCCAGCAAATACATTTCTCTGTGATTATATTATGGCATAAAAAACCTGCCCTGCTCTGCAGTGATTTTTCTGCTGCTGAACCCCACATTACTGAAAATCTGCACAATTAGATAAGTGGTCTGTCCAGGCTAGACACAGCAGGACCTCCGAAATTCATAAACAAATCATCTGAACATCCTCCACATGAACCATGTGCAGACACAGACATCCGTCTGTTTAATGTCCTGGGCCTTAACTGCCCATCTCACTGTATTTAATGTTCATTTTGTCTGTGTGTCTCCTGGTGTGTGGTCCTCTAGCTTCACACAGGTTTGCATGGCATATGGGTTAGTCAAACATTCTCATACTCTTCACTGTTTATGAAAAAGTATCGATGGACACTTAATGGAAAATTCCATCTTCTGATATTTTTTCCGACCATCAGGTATCAGTCTATCACCTGTCCAGCAGTTATCTTATTAAGAACAACTAAATTTTACTTTTCTGTCCATCAGCCTACTTCGTGTACTGTTTTTTCACCTAAAAAAAAGAGTAGAACATAGTACACCAGTTTTTCAGACTTTATATTGGTTTCAAATATAAGGTTTGAAACCTTATACCAAAATATATTGCTGACCTGTTTGTACAATAATAGACCAGACACACCTCTTACAGCCTCTTGAACTAACTTGCTTTCTTCCCAAGAATGAGAACAGAGATCAGTGAGGCTTCATTTAGTTACTGTGGGCCACACTTTTGGTTCAAATTAGCAGATAATCTAAGGTGTGCCCCAACTCTGACTGTCTGTAACAACAGGCTTAAAACCATATTATTCTCTCTTGCCTTCTAACATTGTGTTAATCACCTGTATTTATATATTTATCTTTCCTATGATTGTCTCTTATTTTGTACATATATTTACATTTTATTTAAATTCTCTTTTATATGGACTCATTAAAAATATTTTAAACACAGATAAAGGACTTTCATTGCCTAAACATAAGTAATCTGCCCTTGCCTTTTGGTGATTTCCCATTTTTTCCAGAATGTGTTTCGCCAGTCTATCTGGTCTTGCAGCTGACTGTTACATATCAGCGGAGAAATAATAGTATAATGGGTTTTGTGCTTTTTTGCCTCATGTTTAACTTCACAGGCTGATCCTACCTTCTAAGCTGGAATTGGACCCCAACCAAACCATATAACCGCAGCTTATTTCTCAAATATCTAAATAGAAGAGGTTATGGTGGCAGTACCCTCCCTGGGAGGAAATTCTGTTTCATGACACAATAATTAATCTTGTATTAGACTCATGATACCATTCAGACTGCTGCTGTTGTGAAAAAGTTTATGATTTTCGAACTTTAGTTGATTGTGTGATTGTTACACAAAAATGGGAAATCATCAATGTATAAACAGGTCTATAAGCTTTAATTGTGAAGGACTAAAACACAACCAGGTCTGATGAAAATGTTTTACTTCAACCTCTATTGTTGCTGTGCTGGAAATATCTCAAAAAGTCACTGAAAATAAAGGGGAAAAAACATGCCATAAAATGAAAAAATAGATCCAGAGGTGCTGCCTACAATGCCAGTAGCTGTTTTTTGGTGACTTTCTGTTTTGATCTTTGACCATTATTTTCCTAAGCACACCTCTTGAGTATTTTGTCTGACGACCTTAAGCAAAATGGGAAATCTACTGGTGACATAACACCTAAGTCACTGTGGAAGCCAGGGGAAATCATGTCACCACTACCTAAACTCAGAGGACAGACAGAGGCAGCAACCGGAGCGACTACAAGCAGCTGAAAGATGTGGACATAGATCTCAAACAATCTGTACTGTTCAGTTTCTGGTCCAAAAAAGGTTTTAAACGTCCCCTCTCTTTTACATCTGTCTCAGCCACGCACCCCTTACTGAAAAAAAAATTGGATTGAGTGAATTTATCCTGCTCGAATAAAGTCTGATAAATTTGAAAAATACATTAACTGTAAATGCAGTAGACTTGCAGCTGACCTGGCACAGTGGTGCTGAGCTGTGAAGTATAAAAATGTCCTTACTACTTCATAATTCAACAATGGGGAGAGATGCAGAGACTGTAGCTAGTCTATTGTTAACATCGTATCCCGAGGTAATCATAACATCTGAATGTTAGCACTGGATGTCTGGATCACATCATCTTCAGCACATGAACAGATAACACAGACACTGAGCCAAGAAAATGCGGTAACCTATAAATGTAATATACCAATCTACACCACTAAAGATACTGCTTTCAGTCATTTTTGACATATTAGATTCCATAAAAAGACTAATGAACTGAACTGCAGTAACAATGTTTTCAATATTAATTGACCACATAGTTTTTGGTCCACACTCTTTATGTCAAAATATTGTTTGTTCTTTTGAAATCAGTACTGTTAAGCAGTAAAATATTTAAAATAAAGTCTAACTCTAACACTTGTTCTGTTCCAGTTTGTCTGTGGGTGTCTATCTATAATAGAATATGTTTGTTCCTTCTTGGATTTATCTGCATTATCTTTGTCTCCTAACAAGCAGTTTTGGATTAACTGTGTTGTCCAAACTGTGTTGTCCAAACTGTGCTGCCAATAAAATCTTTAAGCCAGCGTTCAACTGTCACAATGGGAGAGCAGTATAAATGGTTATCAGCATTGTGAGTGGACACTTTTTTCACGCATTAAGACGGCAAAGGCTAAGTGGATAATGGTGTTGTCGAAATCCTTGAATGAACTTTAAAATAAGAGGCTTAGAATTTGTCCACATGGAAATCTCGACCTCGCAGCCTGAGGAGCGTCGTGGCAAAATGCAGTATAAATGATTTCTCACTTTAACAGTGAGGAAACAGCTCACACACAAAGCTCGGTAATGGAAAATAGTTCAATCATAACAATGGTGTGTTTTTCCAGATGTAGATGCAAGCCCCACAAAACACAATCGGTCTTGATTAGCAACAGTGTGACAACTGTTAACGTTGGCTAGCCCAATTTAAAACAGCACTGTCTGAGGCTGAATTCATAGACTGCTGAGATTTTCCACATCATCATGTAATTGGGTGTTTAGAGAGTGCAGTTCATTAATGGGCAACAGGCAAAAGTGAAAGAGAAGCAGCATGAAAGGACCTCTAGGCTATTACAATAGTGCAGTACATGTTTTGGAGTATATCCTTCAACCTATGGACGTTTTTATGTGTCAGTGACTTACAGCTCCGAGTGTATTCGCTACATCAGCCTCACCTTTCTTGATCTTGCGATGGAAGTTGATGGCATCCACAGAGGCAGTGACAATGTTGGTGTTGCAGTGCCGAGCAGCCACAATGCCCGCGACCTCATCCATCAGCTTCATGGTCACACCTGTTCCAGACACACACATGGACTTTTGTAAGATATACAGTTCAGTTTGATACAGTCGAATGCTCCAGAACAGGCCAGTAAATGGCACTTGAGTTCAGACTGCTTTGTCAGCGTCCGTATTCTAAGGTCAAGAATGACGCTATGATTGTGTACAACTGCTGATATTCGAACAGCAACTTATTGCACTCTGCATCTGTCAAACATCAAATTTCTCTTCAAAATAAAACAAGCCTTTATGGGTAAATGTGGACACTAAGTTGGAGTAATTCTCTACTGTGTTTGAGACACTATTTCACTGAGGTTAGATTGTTTGAAGTAAAAGCTAATGGGGTTCCTGATGCAATTATATAACTATCCACCTGAAGCTAAATTATGAATGAGTTTCCTTGCCATTTCCTCAGCATTAGCTTCTCATTCAGACTCATTAGTCCACTGTTGATAGTTTATCAGCTGACTGCCAGTGAGAAGTGTTTCAACAGATTTTCAGCTAACTGACTTCCAGCTGACAACATAAATACTCAAAACACTTTTGCAGAGTGGTCTGTTTATTTACTGTCCATTGAGACGGTCTTCAACAGAACATCAACAGCATTAGTAATTGGTTTTATGGTTTAAAATGACCTCCTTAGCATTTTCCTCTTGCAGTGATGTGAATAATGACTGTCCTCTCTCGGCAGCAAAGACTGAAGCAGTTGCTATACTTGCATAACAGGTCTAAGGAATCAATTTGTGTTTCTGTGCAGCCGAGGTCTGTAACTTTAAAACAAGTGACAGATCCTGGTTTCTTTTAAAAGAACATGTCAGCTTTTTTGGAAATGCGCTTATTATTATTTGATTTGATATTTGACATTTAGGAGCAGAAATGGAATATAATATTCACAGGTCTGTTTTCATTAGTGTATAATCACCTGAAAATAAGAATTGTTGTGTCTTGATCTTTCCCTAAAGTAACCAAGTAGTTTGAGTTACCTAAACTTAACCAGAAATACTCATATGAGGTGTTTTTGGAACAGTCATATAGGCTATTTGTGGGAACTCTGTCCAAAGCTCAATATGCTCGAAACACTAACAGCTACTATTAGAGTTACAGTAGATGCTTGTGTTTGTTGTGTGTGACCAATATGTTTAGCCTAATTTTGACAAAAAATCATGTGCTTTTAAGCAGGTATATAGAGAGCAGATCTAGGCCCTCAAAAGATGCGGCCTGGAGCATGTGGTCTTCATCTGAAGGAGACTTGCTGATTGTTGAAATGTTAGCTGCTGCATGTTATTAAAAGCTAAATTTATGACCGATCTTATGGTTCTAGATGTCATCGTTGTTTAATGATTTAAATTCTGCCATGAAAACTTAAAATGAATCCAAGCTATTCTGTATGAGAGCTAAAACTACAAACACTTCACAGACACTTTTCAAACCAACAGCAGGTGAGTATTTGATACTAAAGAGACACATTTTGGGTGAACTATCACTTTGAAGATGTGAGAGCACATCAAGTAACCCATTATCAAAAAGTTTACAGAACTCTTTGCCAATCCTTGCTCTAAAAGTGTGCAAGTGATTTAAGGAGCAAGGAAACACTTTGAGTAGCAAATCAAAGTTGCAGATTACAGTGAGGCTTGAAACCCATTATTTATAAAGCTGCAGAGCTCACAAAGTGAACACAGAGGAATTCACAAATCTACACCTGCATTTGTCTGCCTGTGCCACACATGGTACGACCTTTGCAGCTTGTGTCTTGTGTGAGGCAAACAGTTGTTTGTGGGATTCTCACAGAAAGTGGGACATCTTGTATGGAGTGGGTGGGTTGGAGATGAGAGAAACGAGGAAGAGGGTGGCATCTGTTTCTCATCTCGAATGAGAATGTGTGTGTGCAAGTGCAATGTGCGTGTGTTTGTGAACATATGCTCATTTACAAATATTCAAACCTTCACTAGACACTCCAGTTGCCCCAATCGTTCCCTCTCAGTTGCGTTTTGTATCCCTAATGCTACAGAAAATCAATAAGTATGCTTGCTGATGGCTGGTTCGGCTCCCAAAGGCTCCTACCATCTGCACTGTGTGCCTCTATTTATGACAGCCAAATGTGTGGGAGTACAAACAGAATGTGCTGCTTGCTCCCAAATGCAGCATTCAATGTAAAAGTTGGCCAGTTGTGTTTATTAAGAATTAAAAATGCCATTACTTTAACATCCTCTTAGCTCAAATGGCCAGAGATCTTCTATTTGCTGATAACACCAATATGTACAAAAGGTTTCGACTGGAAAGTAAATGTATTTTTCTCCAAGTTAAACCTTTCTCAGAGGTTAAAGAGAAATGCACTTACATTTCCAACATGATTTCAAAATAGAAAATGGCTTGATGCTACAGAAATTGAATTGAGCTCTTTGCACTTTGATGTGTGATTACGTGGTTAAACTCAGGCCAGGCAGTGTGAAAGTGACAGATCTTTTGCTCCATCACATAAAAGGCTCCATCACCTTTAACTCGAACCAAAACCCTTTAGATTGGGGAAGTATATCCATTAAAAACGCTCTCTGATTAAGGCGGATGATGTGACCAGTGTTCAGTAAGGTGACAACAGCATGTCAGGCTTAAAGTGTGTGTGGGCAAGGAAATATATCACTTCCTTCTTTAATCCTGTTGCGAGGCATTTTCCAAAACCCATCTTGTTTTTTTCCCCCATACACGCTATGTTGTGAAAATTGATGGGATCTCACCTAAGATTGAAAATTTCCCCTGGGTACAAGGCACAGCAGGCTGCTGCTATTCAAAGCCTGAAGTGGTCGTGTCTGAGCATGCAACACTTAATGGAGATGGATCATGACCTGACAAGATGATGAAATTGAACACAAACGTTGAATTACGCTAAACTGAATCTAAACATTTCGATTAAATTTAAAGACACGCTACCTGAATTTGTTCCAGTGGTCCCCACCTGACATTTCCTCACAGCTCTGCTCTGGTCCTTTTAAACTGATCTGTGAACTATGTTGACTTTAAGAACATTGACACTAAACTGAGAGGAAATGCTGAGCATATGAAATTTGGGATGGGAGCTATAATCAATATTTTTTGTCTGTGATGAACCCACAGACAATTATGAACCAACTCTGCAGTTTCTCTCAGCTCTATGGACCATTATAGCAACTTTTAGCTTATTATTTTCAGGCCCTCAACTTTACGCTTTCAGTTCTCTCTCACTTCTATCATCAGCATTGTTTTGAGCTGCAGCCACAGCAGGCCGGAATTTTTTAAAGAAAAAGCTCTAAGAACCCACTACCTGCACAGAAAAAAAACAACAAAAATACACATTTAGCCACTAGCTGGTGGACAAGCTGCAGCATTTAACAACCATATATATCCCTCAGGAGTTGGTGGAGACCAAAACAGAGCTTAAACAGAGTGAATATTGATTGCTAATGTTTCTCCATATTTGTTGAATCTGGAACATTCTCCATGTCAACTTAAAAGGTGATAATATCATGTCAGTCAGTGTATATTCGCATGCTTATGTCACAGTGTGGGAAGGTTGTGGAAAATTAATAAAAAGTTGGTCACCAAAAAAAAAGTTTTAAAATATTAAAGAGGACCATTAATCTTGTCGAGAACATGGGTTCTCACAGGTTATCCCTTTCTTTAATTAATTCCAAAAGTAAATGTTGACTGAGGCACCTTACCTTGCACCCCATAATAACAGGCCTAGTTCCCTATTGCTATTATTTAATTGCACTGACTCCTCCTCATGGGACCAACATGGTCCAGTACCTTCCCTGAACTCTGGAAGCTGTCCCAACTCTGTTACTTTCTTCTGCCTCAAACTGTGGGAAGCTTTGCTCCCAAGAACCAACAAACCGTAAACATTATACCAAGTCACCAATGAGTTTTAAGCAAGGTTTGCTGCAGTATGCATATTTATTTTAGCATTTTAGAAAAATATCATAAAAAGGTCATTTTTAGTTACTGAATGCTACATTCAGAGCTTCTTAAGTCTAAAAGCTGAATTGGAATATCTTCCTTGAGTATTAAAAGTAGCATTCAATAAGGTTATCTAATTGAGCCAATAAACAATATATTGCTGTTCCCCCTGTTGTCTTTATCTTATAGCAGTGCTCTAAAGTTATTAATTCATGAAACAAAGTGACCCTGCCTTTTTGAGATTTCAACTCATTTGATCTTCCAATTACAAATATTACATGATAAGAATTAGATTACTTGTTTATTATGTTTCTCTGTAATGTCATGATGGCTCTTATCAGAATTAGGGTAAATAAATAAATAAAAAGCATAAGGGAACAGAGAGAGACAGCCCCGCTCAGCATGCTATGGTACGAAGTGAATGCAAATGTGCTAAATGGCTAGACTGGAACAGTCAAGAATATCTTTTTATGACATGACATGAACTATGTAACTTTGAAAGAAAATAATAAATAGAAATGTACTGAGGACTTTGTTATTTGTGTTTTGGACAGTAAATTTCAGAGACTGAGTGGAGCAGTGAGAGTGGGCTCCCGTGGTCTTGTTCTCTGGCTCCCTCGTGTCAGCAGCTCTCCAAGATGCCTTGAGAAAATGAGGCTGGTGGCTGTGTGGGGGGGTAATTACCCCAGTTTGCTCATGTTCCTTACTTTACCACACTGCCTTAGAGACTTCCCACGGCCCAAGAATAGCTTTGAGTAGTAAAGCAAGCTGCAAGTCTGTGCGTTTGAAAATACTGCTGTTTAGAGCCAGGAGACAATTATGCACAGTAACTGATAAAGTTCTTTATTTCAAAATTGTTAATATTTTTGTTGCTTATTTTTCCTCACCACACACTTGTCATATTGTGGGAGAAAGCTTTAGCAGTTCCCTAAAATGGTTCATTAGCATTCCTCAGCAGCAGCAGCAGCAAATCAACTGTAGATGTAAATACAGATGTCTCTTCATTTCAGAGAGGAACATCAACATTTCATTAAGCTGTTTATGGGAAATGAAGGATAAATGTGGATGTGATCCACGTCTCCCT